CCCCCCTCGGATTATATAATAGAAATTATAAAAGTGAAGGGGAGGGGAGTGAAATTTGAACTACCAACAATACTCTCTTTCACTTTATTTTTTAGTATTTAAAATAAACGCTTAAAATGGTTGCATCAAAAAAGTATATGATACCTTGACATAATTTGAGAAATTATACTATTGATAATCATAATTGATTGACTAAGGAAAAACAAATTAGGCAAATGAAAATACTACAAGATTGTCAAACCTTACTTAACTCGATACTGGAACGCTTAATAAAAAAAAAGAAAGACAATTAATGATCTTGTGCAATAGAAATTAGAAGTTATAATGTCTCTCTAAATTATGTTTTTTTCATCTAATTTTTAATTAGAGTTGGTTAACATTTTTTTCTCTTAATGTATATGACAGACAAAATTAAATAAATAGAATATTAATTAATTTCTAAAATTAGTGCACGCATTGCGTGCATATGAAGCTAATCCTATATAGTTAAAGAGAGAAAATAAGTATTATTAACAATGATGATAAAAGGGGAGATAGAGAATGATTCATGGTATATAAAGTTTTTAAAAATAATTAGTTGCTCGTTTAGTAGAATGAGCAAACAAAAATTAACTTATTTCAAGAAAATGAACAAAAGAATATGTTATACGTAGGAGTGAGCATAATAGAGAACCCTGTTAAAATTTCTAGAACCGAAATCGGAATCTGTTGTAGCAAGTTCCTCAAAATGGGAATCAGAACCTTCTTGGAAATTGGGAACTAGAAGGGTACTCTCTCTTGTAATATACTTACTAAGTTTTTTGCAGAATTTTTTAAATAAAAAACTGGTTGGTCATTAATTTATAATGTTTACAACTCGCAAATAAAACAACTAATAGTAGTTGTCTAACAAATTTAGTACATATATTTATAATTGTAATTTTGATATTTATTGTTTAAAAAATAAGTTAGAATTGGTGTATAATTTAAAATTAAGTGATGTTTTTATCAGGTTACAGGGTACTCTACAGGTTCTGGTTCCAAAATATTGAGAACCTAAACCGGAACATGTTGCAACAAGTTCTCCATTTTGCTACCTGGAACTGGAACCTATTATACATGTTCTGATTTCGGAACCTGCTGTTCCTAACAAGTTCCGGTTCCGATTCAGAGTACCCTGATTTTTTGCTCACCCCTATTATTACGTGCAAATGAGCAAAAAAAAATAAATAAATAAAATTGCTCATTTTAAGCAGATGAGCAAAAATTCGCACAAATGAAAAAACATGCTTATATAATAACTGGTTTTATGGTACAACCGATTTTACAATAAAATTTATTAATAGGTATTTTACAATAAAAATTACCCTAAATATTTGTTCCATTTTTTATTTTGCATACTTTTCAATGCAACGAGGTGTATTATTATAATTAAAATATTTCAATATATGAATTAAAAAAAATTGCATTTTTGGAGACTCACACATCAATCCTAGAATTGTTTTTAGTTTTTTTCAAAAAATATTTTAACATGTTCACTGCATTTTTTGGAAAAAAGATTTTACATTAATTATTGATATTACGCGAATTTATTTATTTATTTATTTTAATTTTTTTCTAACAATCGGCTATATGTTAGGCAACATAATTTTTCATGACTAATTTATTTGACACTCTAATTTACATTCTATTGCAATACATCTTGAAATACAAAAATTCTTATATATGGCTAGCAACACAGTGTGATAACTTCACATATAAAGTAACTAGTGTGTTTTGACACGCAATGCGTACATGCCTAATCTATTATAATGGATGCTGGTCAACATCATGAAATCTATTTTTAATATCATAGCTTATTATTAAAAGCTTATTTAAAAATTAAAAAAAGAAAAAAAAAACCAATTTTTTAAAAGTATCATAACCAATGAATAAATACTTCCAACATTTCATCATAAATGAATGATTAAAAAATTAAGAAAATTGTTTATATAATCTATAACAATGGGATAGAAAAGAATTATGTTCAAAATTTAAAATGAAGTGATAAATGAAAAGGAGCTATCAATTGTATAGTAATTACTAGATTGCAATTATACATAAAAAAAAAAATTTATTTATTAACCACCACTGATATTAATGCTCAATGCACTGTAAAGTAACAATAACTTTTGTGTGCTTTTGGCCACCCCGTGTGGTCACACACATTAAGTAACCCCCTAATCGATGAGTAATCCCTGATTGATCGAGTAACTCCTGATCGAGTGAGTAACCCCTAACTGACTTAGTAACCCTTAATTGAGTTAGTAACCCCTGATCGAGTGAATAACCCCTAACCGAATAAGTAGCCCTTATAATAATTGGCCACGCGGTGTGGCAGATAAGATATACATATAGACATATAGTACGTATTAAAGATATACACGTAGTAAGTTAGTAACAGCTAGAGAAAGATTTTTTTTGAGTGTTTTAGATGGAGAGAGAATTGTGATCATATATAGTAGTACAATGTGCAAAATATTAATTTATCAATCACATTATATTTAGTATCAAAATTATTAATTGTGCTTTGATTGATTGACATATCAATGACAATCGTTTTAATTTAGTATATCTTGTTAAATTTAAATTTGATTAACATAGTTATTTTGATCACTAATTATGTTTTATTTTTGGAAAATTAATGCCAATGATTTTGATTGATTAACAAATTAGTTGTAGACTATTAAATTTAACTTTACCAATTGTGTTTATACTACCAGTAAAGTTTTTAAATTTTGATTGTCAACAATTTAATGTTATTGGTTTTTTTTTTTATTATTTATTTATTTATTTATTTTTAATACTGTAAAAGTTATAGGATAAATAATTGTCTAAAATGCCCCAATCTAATTTAGTGTTTAATAATAATTGAATAAGGATATTTATGTAATTTTAATTATATAGTAGAGATTAATTTATAAAAAGGGGTTACGTTAATGAGCAAATGGGGCTATCTTGACGTATGTGGATTATATAAATGAGAAAATAGGGTTACTCTATTAAATAAGTGGAATTCTTCTTTCATTAGTTAAAAACAAAAGTATAAGGGTTACTTTTATTGCTAGATATTACTCGTATATTAAATTTGGGTTACTTTCATGGACAAAATGGTTACTTTTATGAGTAAATGAGTTTATTCATACAAATAAATATAGATTACTCTACCTACCTATATATATATATCAATTACTCTTATAAACTGAAAATTTTATGGTACACCCGGGTGCACCCAAAAAGAACATTATGCATATTTTAAGGAACATGGGCGAAAAAAAAGAACATTATAGACATTTATAAAGAATGCGAGCATAATATGTTCTTTGAGTTTGATCATTATGTTCTTTGAGTTTGAACTATATATTCTTTACATTATATAATATGTTTTTTTAATGTATGTACATAAAAAAAAAATATTAAATTCAACCACCTGAGCCGAGTAACCATTAAAAATAACATGTTCTTTAATGTATTATCAGGTTCTTTTTGTAAAGACTTTATATTCTTTGTAATGTCATGTTCTTTGTCAAACACAAACATGTTCTTTTGTCAAATACAGGTATGTTATTTTTCAAAAACTAATATGTTCTTTTCGCCATTTTCTATTTTACCGGGTGCACAGATCAAACACTATTAATGTGGCTACACACACAAGATTCACTGCTTGAAATATAATTGTGGTATAAATCAATGTCCTGCAGGCAAGCCATTTCTGGCGGCCTTGAAACCTCCTAAGGATTCCGAGACAGTAGAGTCAGCTTTTCCAATTGGATTCGAGGACAGAATAAGAGGAAGGGGAATCATACATGGTGGTTGGGTGCAACAACAATTGATCTTGCAGCATCCTTCGGTGGGATGTTTCGTAACTCACTGTGGGATCGGGTCTCTATCCGAAGCCATGGGAAGCCAATGTCAAGTGGTGTTGATGCCTCAAGCAGTCGACCAGTTTATATATGCGAGACAAATGAGTTTAGAGTTGAAGATAGGAGTCGAAGTCGAGCCAAGAGAGGATGATGGTTTATTCACTAAGGAGGCCGTTTATAAAGCGGTATCCATGGTGATGGATGAAGGTAGTGAAGTTGCTGCAGAAGTTAAGGCCAACCATGCTAAATGGAGAGAATTCATTTTAAAGGATGATTTAGAAGACTCTTACATCAGTAGCTTCATTCAGAGTTTACAACAAATGCTTGAATGAACTTAGTATACGTAGTATATTTGTTCAACGTTTCTTTTAAGAGTGTACTACGTATTACCATGTACTTTGTTTAGAGAAACTAAGTTATGGCAAACAAAAAAAGAAAACTAGTATTACATAAATTGTATTTTCTCTTAAAGATAATTTTTCCATAACAATGTTTTCCGTTAATACAAACAGAGCCTAAATGTGGGAAATGCTGGTGATATGCTTAATAAATGAGGCTTTTTAGATCTTTGATAGGACTATTGGGAGTTTTGCTACTAAGTAATACGAAGTATATATGGTGTAGCAAAGCAACATCTCCAGGCTTTTACTAAGATTGGGAACTCTAACCATTCTCGAAGGTGGTCATGGCACACCACCAGGTTTTATTCAAGCTAGTATAGGAAAGGAACATTGTCAGGTCAATGACATTATGGTACAGGAGACGTGCATCATTCTCAAGATCGATGGATCATGGCAAAAGCAAACAAGCTGGGAGGAGCTGGCCTTGGATGGACAGTGTCTTCACCCATGCAACCAGGTGAAAAGATTATATATAGTCGTTGCACGGGTTATTTAGAGTTAGCCCGACTATTATAATATGTTAATGTTCATATCACCAATGCAATGACTATTATAGCTATTATCTTAGTTTATTTGAACTTATCTTATTTAAACTTATTAACTAATATCATATCTTAGCCAAACTAATCAATCCATATCTTATCTTACTTGAACTTGTTAGCTCTAGTCTAATCAAAACTATGTTCTTGCGTAGGAGGGAAACACTTATTGTCTGAAGTTGCAAGAAAACATTCTCTCTTTCATACATGGAAAATATGATTTACATCTTTGAAATCAATAAAGAATCATAAATAAGCTTGGCTTACAAAAGGATTCCTAGATGCCAAGCGCCTAAACTCTGTAGACCATTTAGATTCTAATATACAAGGCCGATTATATGTATGTAAATAACGCACGGCCTGAGAAAGGATGGCACAATAAAAGTATGTATAATCTTGCAACGGTAAAGACCAAGGTATGCTTGATTGTTCTGCACAACTACACATATACATTTGTAGATTTGTATGGCTGTCATTGTATGACCAGTATGTAACTCAAAATTGATTAATCAGTTGCTTTGCTGATCAGTTTGTTTGTATATATCAATCCAACACTTGGAATTCTTCACTGCATCATTCCATCTTTGACTGAACACCTGCATTTCGATGAATGACTGTTTCCTCACCTACAATTTATGAACAATCTCTGTATTACGATATACATCACGTGAGAAATATCGGGAAAATCTTTTTCTAGTTACAATGGGAATCTGATTTAGAAAATTTTATCAATGGAGTACTTCTACTTTTAACAGGTCAAACAGCAAAGAAATTCTAATTCAAGAAATGAAAACTACAAAGACTGTTATTAAAAGATCAAAATGATGCTCGGACATAATTAGCAAACAATTTAATAGAATCCATTAAATGTACTTGACAGAATGAGATGATGAGAATACAAGATCTAAAACTTACAGCAGGTCTATTATCAACTCTTAGGGTCTCAGATGATTCCTGCAAATCAAAAAGATGACCCGATTGTGAGAAGGGTGGCTTTGATCAGCAAAACGAGAGCATTACCATGAAGATTCAATAGCCACTAAATGTAAATTGTCGATGCATACAATCATGTGCCCGTCAAAGTGGTGCTACTAATCAAAAGATGGAGAGAGTATTTAAATAAATTAAAAAGAACAATGTTAAACAATCCAAGTAGTGATTTATAAAAGTACGAGTCAAGAACGTCTATGTCATCCAGAAGTACAAATGGGCAAGCAAATAGGCATAGAAATGCAATTAAATTATTATAAGGAAATATATATTATTATTAAATTCTTGAAAAGATCTTCAAATAGTGGAACAATTTTGTATGCAATTATATATTTTTAGTAATACTTTTTGTTGTGCATAGAAAAAAAAAATATTGAAGATGCATACAGAAATGTTAACTTACAAGTGGCATAAATTGATGTAACATAAAAGTGAAATTGGTTGAACAATTGATAGTAAAATATATCGGGTATATTTGGCCAGTGCAAGAAAAAGAGATAGATCCAAGTGAGCAATGTTATGCCATTTAGTTTAGTAACTGATAAAAATCAAAGCATAAACATACGCTAGTAATCTCATTACTCTAAAATGAAGACAAACTGCAGTTAGAAGCAGCAAAATTGCCGAATGTTGCTTCATATTTGCAATAATTGCAATAACAGCAAACAATAATAAACAGAGTATGCACCTTGATTCTTTCCAGGACACCAAGTGTGGGAAGTCCAAGATGAACAATGTACTCAGAATCCACAACACCAACTTTCTTCGTTCTATCACCCTGACATTTGTACCCAATATAATCAGCAAGCAAGCGACAGTGGAAATTGAGTAAAAACTGAAAAGAAAACTGCCAAATGGGAGCAGGTATGGGTGAAAGAGAATATTGGCTACCTGTGCACAATAACCAAGCTGTCTATCCAAGCCCCAAGCATGTATCAGATCATTCTGCATGGTATAAAAGTTACATTTGAGTTCATTACAAGAAATAAACTAGATGGGGTATTAAAACAACCCTGCCACCTAAAGATTTAATCACCTCATTTTTATATTGTGAATCACAAATTTAATTCTTACAAGAGAAGCAATATTGTGTTCAAAAGTATGATTAAAGCAACTCCAACGATAAGCTACAAAGTATTTATTATTGAAACTTGGATTGCAACATAATAATTTTCAAGCTACAATTTAAAACTAGCAAAGGAAAAAAAAAAAAAAAAAAAATTAAACTTTGAAGTGCATGTGTCAAACGTCAAATGAAGCTTGTATTTATATTCTTTCAATCATGTAGGTAGGTCGTTGAAGATACAACATTGTGCAAACTACTTGCCCTTTTAGCTCTCCAATGGTAAGCTAGTAATATATATATATATATATATATATATATATATATATATATATATATATATATATATATATTTTAATTTAATGCAAGAAAGTGCTTAATATTTACCATAAAGAGTTACTCCCACAACGAATCTAAAAGCACAAATGATATGATATTTTTTAAGCATCTTGATTTAGATGAATTTTTTGTTACATAACTACTCCCTCCGTGTTTATATAGATGAAACATTTTGACTTTTTGCACTATTCATCTACTTCACTTTGACTAATATTTGTGATTTATACATAAATATAAATATAGTCATGTAGGTACTTGTTGGAATCGTCTCAATAAATAGTTTATTAATATTCAATTGTTATAATTTTTACTTATTAATAATTAAAGATATTTTCAGTCAAATTTTACATTGGCATACGTGCATAAGGAAAACGTTTCATTTATTAAAACACGGAGGGAGTACAATCTTAGCTAATATATTGTATCAAGCAGAAATTTGCTAATTCCCCCAAGCAGAAATTTGCTATTCCAGCAGAAAGCATACCTGGACCATGTACCATACACATTGCCAAGCTGCTTTTGAGAAGGCTGGTGCCATCATTTCCACCCAGCTGCATCAGCAATTTCAAAATAATAAACTTAGTAAAAGATCTCAGCACTTTCTCATCAATAATGCGAAAGCAATGCCTTTTTGATATAACACTACAAATTGATACTAATAGTTGCATTCATACCAGCCAAATTGCATAATCCAATATGCTTACCCTGTGCATGGCGGAGCTGTGCTGTTATCGTCACACCTTCCACTTCCTTTTGATTTGTAATATCTCCTGCTCACAAAGGAAAAATATTTAGACTCAATAGCTTGAAAATCATATGCACCCAGGAAGAAAGGGCGGAGGATCTCCAATCTAAGCATAATGCACATCATCCTTATTTTTACACTTGACCAATGAGGCAAACTGGTAAAAACATTAGCACCCATCTGCCACATTGGTGTAAAAGTTGGCTACATGTTGAAAAATTACAAACCAAAAAAAAAAAAAAAAAAAAAAAAAATCTACTTTTTCACCTCCCTTCTATTTTTTTTTTTTTTTTGCCAACAATTTTCTTAGCTTTTTTTTTTTGGGTATTGCATAACTTCTGTTTTCCTCTATTTCTACTTATTTTAATCACATTTGATTCAGAATGCAAACTTCATTGTGCTCTACAATTCCCACTAATATTAACTATATAGATTGTTGGATCAGGGAATTGGTGTTATAGAAGTGGAGGCACTGAGGCAGAAAGGACAGGTATGTAGCGCAGAGAAAGTTTGTCTATCTCCCCACCGATAAACCAAATTTCCAGGGGTGTTGTGACTTTAAAGAAACACAAATGCAGTACGACTGCTCTAATAAATCAAACCGGTAGTTTATACACTTTCTAGTCAAAGGAAAATGGCATTCATTTCGCAATAATCTTCAACCAAACAAATGGTATCTACTCTAATGTGGACTAGCCCAAAAGGCCAAAACAACAGTATGAACCCTGTTACAACAAGGCAAAGCTGTGAAAATTGAAATCGATTTGGAGATACCAAAAGGGAACAAGATGAAACTTTCTATGAAAAGAAGAGAGCTCATATTATAGTGATTGAATTGCAGCATGATAAAACCTGATAGGCCCCTGCAGTGGAAGAAACCCATTCCTCACAAACTTTTTTTAATGGAAGATAAATTTCTTTTTAGGCCTTTGGATGATGAGATTAAGAGAACCTTCTCAGCATCACTTGATATGGAAAGCATTGCCACTGGATAACATATCCAACTACCTCGCCACAGTCTATTACAGGTTTCCTTTATAATGGAGCTCAACCTCTAGAAATGTATTGACAAATGGAAAAAGGTTTTTTCAGCTTAGGTAATTGTATTAACTATTTTACATTGAAACATGAAAAGAATGTAAATAAAGCTTCACAAACTCTGTGGATTTGAAAGGTATTACACTTGCTGCAAATACTCTAAAAATGATAGACTAGCTAAAATTAGAGGCTAAATTTTTTGAAAATTATAGGGAATTTAATAATCATTTTGGGACTAAGGATTTGTTGTTGTTGTTGTTGTTGTATAGGGAATATAATATATACTATTTAGGTAGAATAGATGGGGAACAAGAGCTTTTGGAAATATATATGGCATAAAAGCAAATAAAATAAAGGGAAATTAGATTAAAAGGGCAATGAATAGCATGTGCATACAGTCCAGTAAAAATATACTTCCTCCGTTTCTTTTTTGTTGACACGTTTTTATAGTCACCTTTGCCAATGCACAACTTCAACCATTCATATCTTTAATTACCAATAAACAAAAATTATGAAAATTTGATATTTTGAAAATATATATCATGACAAATCTAACAAAATCACACATGACTATATTTTTCATTAAGTATAAAGCACAAAACTGTGAGATTAATTTGCAATAGAATAGAAATTAAAGGGGAATCTTAAAATAAAATAGTAAAAGGTTATTTCTTTTTAATGCTTACAATAATATTGATTTATCAACTCTCTTATTTTAGTTTGTAACACTCTATAAAAGTTGTAATAATTTTTCATTTAAGGTAATATATAAGAATGAATAACAACATAATATAATATCTTTAATACTCTAAATCAATCTCTATTATTTTATTAAATAAAGTAGGTGCTACAGCTCTGCTTATTTCATATATATATATATATATATATATATATATAGGAGTTGGATCATGTGAAAACAAGTGGTAAAGTAAAAACTGAAAACAGTTAATCTGGGCCGTACATCATATCTTATGGCTGAGATTTTTTTCCCTTATTTTCAGACATCTTTAATCTTTTAATTCACACGTTATTTTCTCTCTCCTCTCTGTTCTCTTTCCTACTTTCTCTCTCTTCAACCAAGTTCTCTGTTTTCTCTCTCTACTGTGTGTTTCTCTCTCTTCGTTCTCTCTCTAAACGCGGCGGAAGCATACTCTGAATTCTCCGTTGAAGCGGCTTAGGTATTTTTGGAGGTTCGATCTGATTATGTTTTTTTTTTTTTGGTTTTTGGTTTTTTAATCGTGTTTTTTAGGTTTGAACTTGATTTGATCTTCAATTGTTGTTTTCCTTCTGATTCTATGTGTAATTGTCGTGAATTATATGCAATTTTGTTGTATTGTAACTGAATTTTGATAATAAATTGCGAATTTAGGCTTTAATTTTTGCATTTTTGCTGTTTTTTTTTTTTTTTAAATTTTTATATACTGGATTATTTAGCTATAGAATGTCAATTGTTTGATATTATTAGCAAATTGGTGGTGTCGGTGGTGGTGGTGGTCTAGGTTTGGGGGTTTTGGTGGTGTTGATGGTTGTGGTGGTGTTGGTGGTTTCGGTGATTTTCGGTGGGTTTTGGGTGGTTTCGCTTGGTTTGTGGGTGGATTCGGTATTTTTGGTGGGTGTCGGTGGTTGTGTTGGTCTAGATTTGGGGGTTTTGGTGGTGTCGGTGGTGGTGGTGGTCTGGGTTTGGGGTTTCGGTGGTGTCGGTGGTCTGGGTTTGGGGGTTTCGGTGGTGGTGGTGGTCTAGGTTTGGGGCTTAATCGTTCCCTCTAAATCGGCCGTAGGAAATTATGGGAAAAAGAGAAGTACCGCCATTAAGACGCAGAGCTTGAAACTTCATCTTTCAGTTTTCGTCTCAGCAATGAAGCAGAATGAAGATGTTGCTTCTACTACTTGCCTAATTCTGTAATTCCCCAAATTTTCAGAGAAGAAAGAAGGAAATTGAAAGTTGACACTGACAAGTCACAATATTCTGGGAAAGCCTTCAACATACAATGTATTCCATAAAACTTTGAACGAAGTATATGGAAAACTAATTTGCAGTAGTTAACTAGTTATAAATTTTGTAATTTTTTTTTTCTTTTTTTTGTGTGTGTGTGAAAGGTTATTGTAAAATCTCAAACATAAATTTAAAATCTGTGTTGGTTTTAAGCCTCTAGTTTTTGGCATGTTGAAAGCCTATTAGCTCAATTGGTCGAGCACCGTGTAATCACGGGATGTAGGTTCGAATCCTATATAGACTTTTTTAATACCCTTTATTTTTATATTTAGTGACCTCTGGGTAAATGGTGTCAAATTGATTTAATTACCAAAAGTTTATATATAGTTACCTTATTTTCGTATATAATGACCTTAGTATTATGGAAATGTTGTAAATTTTGTTTCAGTCACCTTATTTTTGTATATATCAATCTTGCTGGATTTTCAGCAATATTGCAAGCTATAATTAATATAGTTATTTTATCTTTGTATATAGCGACCTATATGTAAATGTGGTCAAAATTGATATAGTTACCCTACTTTTGTATATAGTGACTTCTATGAATAGGATCAAAATTGGTATAGTTACCCTATTTTTGTATATAGTGACAAATGTTGTAAAAATTGATATAGTTACCCTATTTTTGTATACAGTTACGTTATTTTTATATATAGTGACTCTACGTTATTTAATTTTTTTTTTAAACCGTTAGATCTTGTTAGTAACAATGGATGGTTGAGATTTTCTGTTTTTAGTTTTCACCATAAGCCCTGTTTTCAGCGGAACCTCCCCGTATATATATATATATATATATATATATATATATATATATATATATATATATATATATATATCTTATATTTCCGATCCTTATACCCATTATACTTCCGCTGTCTCCAACAAAAACGTGGTCAAAGGGGAGTATTTGAATAGTGCTAAAGTCAAAACGTGTCAGCTAAAAAAAACGGAGGTAGTAGGTTCTAGTGCTGCAATCTTTACTAATATATTAAAAGGCATTCCTAAGAACGTCTATGAACAGTTGAACACCTAACCTCTTATAAAAAAGATACTAACCATCTAAGCCAATCATCAACCATGTTATAAACATGAAAAAAAATGTATATAAAAATCACAAGGTCTCATTAAAAAGGGGAAAAAAAAAAAAAACACCATAAATATAAAATACATACAATCACAAGGTTTAATTAAAGTAGCAAACCAGTGCAACACCCGAGCCACACACTAGTTTATATTTACAGAGTTGTTGACAAGAATAACAACATTTACATTGAAGTGGCAAATGGATCCTCACTTTAATACCAATGTGGCTCATTGGCCTCTTACAATTTGAACCAAACTTGCAGACACAAGCTAAGATACAATCCAAAGCTTAAAGCTTTATGACTAAACAGATGTAAATTGTTTAACAAGATGTGTTGATATAAAAATGCAGAGAATTTAATCAAAAATATTGGTATATTCATGACAGTAGTAATGATTAAAAACTTTCGACAGATCAGATTAATGAGAATGAGAACTTTTCTACAAACATGCTACATAACCTACCTGTGCAATCTTTCATTCTTCCTGCGAGCAGTAATAGATTGATGAACCACTGATTTAACAGGATCAAGTGCTGGTTGTGATATCTCTAGTCCTTCACTTTTTATAATGTTGATGTACCTGCAATAAATTTGCAAACACTTATTTACCTAATTAAACTTGGTCCAACATCTCAGTAACCAGTATTAAGACCAGCCATTTGGCCGAAAAAGATCAAACTGCAATAGGTATTCAGTAGCTCTCGCAGATGAAACTCAACTCTTTTCTGCTTCTGCAACCCCCCCCCCCCCCACCCCCCTCTCCTCTCTTGCCAAGCTCCCCTAACATTTGAAAATGAAGGGAAACTTTGATCAGAAATACCATCTCATAGATGTCTCACAGCCTTATGGCGCCTATGATCAGCTTAGCAATTCTAAGGAAACTTATGGCTAAAAGAACTTAGTAACTTCTACTACCACTTTTACGCGTTTATAGCCTGCTTGGATCCTACATAAAACATTCTAAGGGAAAAGACTCCTATGTTCTACATGCTTTCTTTTAGAAAAATATTCTCACCAACAAAACTTATACGGAGTATAATTTAGAGATATCAGTTCAAAAGGATATCATATGTTCTAATGTTCTGCAATAAAACAAAAGCAGGATACATAAAAAAAGTTAAGATTACCTTTGTGGATTGAAATTTGCTACATCAAGGTCCTCATCCCAAAGGAAAATATAGTCATACTCTGCCACAATATCTGGATGCAAAAAACGCTTGGCAAACCACCTACAGCACAACGATAAATGCAAATAGAGGCCTGTCTCAAACTTTCAGAACATAGCATACACCAGCAAAAAAAAATTTATTGATCAAAAGTTACCATTTTGTTTGGTTCTTAGCAGAAACATGTATCACTTCATTATTCCACTTAAAATCACTCCATTGATCCACAATGCCATCATAATGAAAGAGCATTATGACAAAACCGTTGGAAAGAAACTGGACGGGTATAATAAGCATTAAAGAGGAGCACAACAAACAGCAAGTAGCAGAAACATAAACAGAGGCCAGAGCATAAGCATTTACCTTCTCAACTATTTTATGTACTATCTTCTTTTTCTTTACTCCCACTGCAATTGCCAACAAGTTCAAAGAAGGCTTCAGCTTCTCCTGAAATAACCGTATCATGCAGTTTAGCACACTAAGATGAAACATCAAATAGTATACGACGATATCTTTTAGTTCAATAAGATAGTCTTAAGGTCAGTTCAAACACTTTGACAATATGGGACTTAAGTTAGCAAATAATAACTAGATGATCATGACTTTCTCAGGTCAAACAGACAGTTGTTAGACCAAGATTAACATAAATCAGAGGTAACTGTACACGCAACATAGTTTTTTTTTTTTTGAAACAGCACGCACCAAAGTTAGAGCCTAAGACAGTAAGAAGTAATTGAAATTGCATACCTTGACTAAGACGGAATCCCATAATGGTCGCAATTCCAAGTTGGATGTTTGGACAACAACTCCCTCAGGTAATGCCTCACTTCCTGGAGGCCTACATCGGTTCTAAGAAAACGAACTACGTCAATAACAATAACTTTTAAAGATTCAACTTGCTAAAAGTTAAACAATCGATCAACTAACCCTGCAGAAACTAGATTTCGAACTATGTGCAGTGCCCATCACTTCCATTGGCCATCTTGATATTCTCTGCAATGAGTGATTAAACCATTACCAGTTTAATCACAAAGGCTATAAGTAAATATAAAATTATGCAGCTTCAAACTATACAGAATTTACAATTCAATCAATAGTCTATGCTGATATACACCAAGGAAGTCTATGAGAGACAATTAAAACTCTTCATAAAAGATTAATCATGGACTACAAGTCTAAAACCACAATATTAGCAACAATTATCATACTAATATTTCAAACAACTCACAAGTCCCAAATCCAAAGTCCAAGCATAATTGGTCTAGTCTAGGAGTCGTGATTATGAAAATTCCGGTTTTCAATCTGGCCCGGTCTACACTACACCGGGATTGTATAACTTAATGACTTATGGTACCATCATAGACTTTATGGTATATACTCAACTTTAAAAAGCATACAAATTACACAATTTCTTATAGTGAAAAAAATTACTTTGTAACTTCGATCACTTCATGACAAATTGCAAATTGCTAATACATTGAATGCAAATATGGAATCAATTATTCGTGGTAAAGAAGATACTTACTTCTCTGTAATCCTCTGCAATTAAAGCACTTCCAATGAAGTAAGTTAAACATATTAGAGACAATCCTATGATGACTTTGTACAAATATAATCTGTTCTTTGTGTCTGCAGAAATCTGTAATTTAAAAAATCAAAAAAAAAAAAACGAAAAACATAAAAGGACTTACATTAACATAATTACATAAACAACCATCAGAAAAATAACAATGTTATTTAAAAAAAAAAAAGAAATATAATAATGAAATAAAATATAATAGTAGTATTCATTTTAAACATTTTTTTTAGAAATACTAGCTGGTTTGCATTGTTCTACAAGCAAAATTCTGAAACAAAAAACCATTAAAATGATAAATTATAGTAGTATGATACAAAAAAAAAAAAAAAAAAAAAAAAAAAAAAAAAAAAATTAATTACATAAAAAAAAGGGAGAAAAATATGTAAAAAATATATATATAGTGAGCAGAATCAGCAAAAATTGAGGAAAATTTTTGTTAAAAAATCTGAGCTCAGTTATACCAAAAAAAATAAAAAATACACAGCGGTTTGCCAAACTTCGTAAATACAGTTATTTTAGAAATCGCCAACAAGTGGATAAATAAATGAATCAAAGAAAACCCAAAATTCAGAAAACAAAAAAAATAGAGAAAGGAAGAAATTAGAATATTCAGAGAGATAGAGAAACTTACAGAAAAGGGGGAATTCATGGTAGAAAGAAGATAAGAACAAGTACATGAAAGTCCCTTTTTATGGCACACTTTATTGGATTATGATTTTAGTTAAGGGAATTGAACAGAGAAAGGCAGGCCAGAAAAGTAAAGTAAAGAATATTCAAAAGTTATAGGATAATTGAATTGAATTGGATAACTAATTATGCTTCTTTTTCTTGTTTGTCTGTAAGAATAGGCAAAAGCAAGGAATAAATTGGTGCTTTCATCATTCTTGTAACTTCATTTCTGTGAGCAGCGGTGGCTTGAAGGTGAAGCTGGTTGCTGTTTTGAATGATTGATTACGATGATGCTGATGGAGGGGGGATTGCGTCGTGGGTTTGAACACAGAGAAAATGGTAGTTATGTTGTGTAATTGGGAGTTATTATGACTGTTTTCAACTTACTGTACTAAATTGGATTGTTTTGTGCCTTGTTATTTATGGTAAAATTATATTTTGTTCGTTTCACGAGAGATTACGTTTTGACTCTTGGGATTTTAGTAATTTATTAGCTTTGAACAAAATTAATGTGGCGGTTTGTAAAAAACAATTTAAAATATGGGAATTAATGTATTTTAATCTTTTTTTTTCTCCTTTTTATAATATAACCAGCTTGTATAATTAATAAATAATATTCAGTTTAATGGTAAGAATTGTATCTAAAACTATGAGATTGTGGAGTCAGTCTCACTAGCTCCAAATCCCCAATTTAGGGATGAGAATTTCTTTATCCTTCCATCTCACTACCAGGAAATTTTGCTTGCTAACTTAAGTCGAATCGACATGTGAGACGTTATGGTTCAAATGGAGCATTTTCCTTGTTTTATTTATAATTAAAAAAAAAATTAATAATAATAAAAAAAAAGCATTCCAACCATTTCAACACCACCCAACAAAACCACCCTCTTGAACTTCTTTCTCTTATTACTTCCACCCTCTTGAACTTCTTTCTCTTATTCCTTCCTAGCTTTCTCCTTTTATATCTATCAAAACCTCCAACACCTACTAGCCACCACTAAGCACCATAACAAGACAACCACACCACCAACCATAATTTATCTTTCATTTCTCTTCAATTCTACCATAACCTTGATCATCTTACCGGTCACCACAACGCCTCCTCTATCACTACCATATAAATAGCTTGAAGATTAAATCTCTCCCATCGTGGTGTTGTTAGTACATCATCACGTCATACTCGATCTAGAAGGGAAGGTTGTTCCAAACGCCTTTGAAGTGAGAAAAAGCCATGATCTAGTTGGAAACAAGATCATCCCAAGGCTGGACAAAGAGTCCAGACTAAGCATTGCACTGATGTGCAAAGCTTGGGCTCGAGAGGTCAAGGTAGTTATGCCCTACCCAAACTTTGAGCACCGATTGAAAAAGAGGATAGTTATTTAAGTTAGTAACTATTATAAGGTGAAAGTCAGTCATGGTCCAGACAGGGGAATCCACACACTTCAATATAAGTGCACCTGTCAATGTTGGGATGATGAAATAGATCTCAACAACAGAATGGATTGTACGCTGGTAGAGCCCTACGTTGATAAGTTTGAAGATTACTTGGAGAACCCAAAGTTATGGGATCTTGTTTCCAATCTCCCAAGCGAGGATGAAGCTTAGCGCTCCGTGTGAAAGGTCACAAAATAGATATATGTACATATACTTAGGCCTAATCATTTTGTATGTAATTATGACTGCAGCCTTCTAATGTGTTTTTCGTACTTGTAAATATGCAATATTTTATCTTTGGAATATTAATCTCAAGCGCTATTTGAATTATCTCTGGTATATCTAACTCTACTACTAATTAAATTAAATACGATCACAACAAAAATAAACTAGACTAAATATATAGTTTGTGAAGTCACACGCCACCTACCTACAAATTAGGGGGAGCATTTGTTACACCCCAATTGAAAATTTCGTTAACTTTGACCATCTTTAGGTAGATTGGTTAAAAGTTTGACTTAATAGGGATATCTTTAATGTACTCGAAACTCACAAACAACAACATGCCGCTTAGCGATACAAACCCATATGCTCAGTGGCAATGAAGGAATTTACCCATAGGAATAAAGGAAATAGCCCAATATTAAGGCCCAAAACTTTTTTAAAGAATAAATGTGGCCAAAGTACGTAATATCTGTTCAATGAAATAATTGTCGCTAAAGAAGAGTAAACTGCTAAATGGTTAAGGGGCATTAATTGAATCAGTGGGACAGTGTATCAAAGGAAATTTGTCCATAAATAGCAAGGATCCACAAGGCAAAGGGCATCAACAAATCATCCAACAAACACATTTTTCTTTAAACTTTCTTTAGTGCTTTTTAAATTAGTTTCTCCTTTGGCTTAGTATCTGAGCGATACGTAGTTGTAATAATTAAAATGCTCTAAATCTACTCTGTTTCGGGGGTTTTTGGAGTCCCTCGGGAGAGTTACAATACGGAGTATGTGCGCCTGACGTCTGTACCTGCAAAACCACGAAACTCCGGTTGGGTGGAGTTCCGCCTCCGACGATCAAGTTAGTATGATTCCAGATGGGTAAACGGGCAGAAAGTAAATGGGTTTTTCTCACTGATTCAGAGAGGTTCCGCAATTAATATTGCTCGGATTTTGTGTATGTATTTATGAATGAGTAATAAATGAGGAACTTCCTCTATTTATAGCAAATGAGGATCTGCTCCCCCATTGGTGGGCTGCCACGTGTCATCATGCTAGTGGGCCACGTGGCATAGGGTATTTTTACCCTAAACATTTGCCCCTCACAGGTGTGACGTGGCGTAGCCACGTGTCACCTGTGACAGGTGTCAAGCACAGGGGAGGCGACGGTTGGTCTGCTTCCAGCCTTTTTTCTTTGAAGTTTGAATTCGAATGCTTGAGGCAGAAGGTGACGATTCGCCTTCCGGGTTTGTCTATAAATAGAGACACACCCCCTCTTTCCTCTTCACTTTACAAATTTTGTAAAAATTTTCTTGAGAGCTCTGATACCGGCTGCTTAATTGTGCAACCAGCTTCTTCTTTCAAACGCATCCGGATACCAGTTGAGTGTTTCTTCAATCAACTCATTTAGGTACCGTCTGACTCTTGATTTTCTCTTGATTTGAGTAGAACCTCAGACGGTCTTACACCGTCTGGGGCACCTTAAGTCCTTTCTTTCATGTCTTGCATTTGGTAGACCCACAGACGGTTTGGACCGTCTGGAGTATCTTAAAACCATGGGCCAAAAATGCATTCCAAAGGCCCACATACGGTGAGATACCGCCTGCGGCATCTCTAAACAACTGTCTTCAAGGGGTTGGATTCAATGGACCCACAGACGGTTACATACCGTCTAGGGCATCTTCAGACAGTTGCTCCACTTGCATTTCATAGACCCTCAAACGGTTAGGGACCGTCTGGGATACCCTCAAACAAAGGATCTCCAAATCTAGACCCACAAACGGTTTTGGACCGTCTGAGGTATCTTCAGACAATTGCTCTTCAAAACCAGACCCACAGACGGTTATGGACCGTCTGGGGTATCTTCAAGCAATTTCTCTTCAAAACTTGGATCCATCGTACCCTCAGCCGGGCTTATGCCGTATGGGGGGTCTTTGAGGTATCTTTTGAGTTCTTTTAAACCATTCAATGGACCCTCAGCCGGAAATGTTCCGCCTGGGGCATTTCTGAGTAATTTTCATTTTCATAATTTAATTTTTTTTTTCTTTTGACCCTCAGCCGGTCCTATCACCGTTTGGGGGGCTTTTGAGCAATCTTCATCGATACCGCCTGGGGGATCGTTGAACAATGCTTTGCAACCCAATTCATTAGGCCCTCAGCCGGCCTTTATGCCGTCTAAGGGATCTTTGGGCAAGCTTCCTTGATACCGCCTGGGGTATCTTTGGGAAAATCTTTATGATACCGTTTGGGGTATCTTTGGGTGATTTTTCTCCAAAATGCCTGAATGTTTGTCTTTGTACTTCAGGTTTTCATACGCAAACGGACTGCTCCGCCTATGGCCTCTTCAAGCCATATTTTGGAATTTCAGCCTAAGTCTTCACAAATTCAAGGTATCACCTTTGCCCCCTTGTAACCTTTTGAGTTTACCGGTTGTATAGGTTTTTAGAGAATAATGGACTCTCCCAATACACACACGGAACGACCTAGGGCAGTTGTCAACCGGTCACCGGATACGGTTGAATCTAGGACTGGGGATGCCGTCTGGGGGTGTGTGGAACACCCTTTCTCTTCTACGAATCCGACCATCTCTGTTCATGTGTAGGACAGAATGGCTCGGACAAGAAAGACGGTTGTTGACCCTGAGTACCAATCAGAAGATTCAGCCGGAACTCCGGCTGAAGATGTTCCTTTTGACCAACCGGGCGTCCCGAGTACGCCTGGTGATGATATTCTTAAAGAATTCGGGAGCTCAAGCGGTGAGGAAACCGATCAGGAAGCCGGATCTACTAAGTCTACCATGACACCGGATGCCCCTCAAGATAATGAGGAGGAATATAACTGGCCTTCAATAAATAATCCATTGGAGGCACACATGAGCGCCCGGGATGTTGTGACGCTAAATGTAACACTCCCGGCATTTTTGGAAAAGCGCCCGGTTGGAGCCGGCTGGGAGGTTGGCGTCCCGCCTGCTACGGCAACCGTCGTCTGGGAAGACGACCTGGAGCATGCCGATAATTATTTCGGCTGCTATGAGGCGGCATTCAAAGTCGGCCTCCGGTTCCCCCTCCATAGAACAATTAAAGCCATTCTACGGGGTTATGACCTTGGTGTCTGGCAACTCACACCCAACTCTTGGGTAAACATCATTGGATACATTGCCGCTTGCGAGATGCAGGACGTGACGCCTAACTGGGAGGCGTTCGTGCACATGCACTACCTGAGCCGTGCCCCAGGCAGCTTGAATGCGTGGTACACACTCACCACACATCTGGAATATATGATGACCTTGGAGAATCCCTCCAAGTGGACGAGCTGGAAGAGAAAGTTTTATTTCGTCTTTTCCCCATCTACGGCTGCTAATCACCGGATGCGCCGATATAATAAGAACCCGGCTGTACTGGGAAAGAAGTGCGCCCTACAAAGGGTGCCGGCTGAGGCTTGGGATGCCATTATGGAGCCAGGACTATTTAAGAAAACCACTCAGCCACTGGATGATGGGACACAAATCATTGTCCCCAAATTCTGGGTCCCTCATCCAGACTAGTTCAAAGACGAGGCGTTCCTCTCCGCCTGCGGTCTCAGCACTTTCTGGGATAAACATAGGTTTACTGCTTTAACCGGCGTATTATGCCGCCTGTATGATGCTTGAATGCTCTTTTGTTATTTTGCAGAGAAAGTACTAGAAATGACTCCTCCGGAAAAGACCCCGGCTAAGTCAGCTACCGAGATAAGGAAG